TGTGGGATACTTTAAGTCCATTTTAGAAGGGGATACATATTTTGGCAGGCTAACCCCGATATTTTTCGTATCCCCCTGTATTTCTTACATTGAAAGAGCTAACAGCTTCAAATTTTCAGCAGGTGCTTGTTTTTATAAGAGGTGTTTATGTTCCAAAAATCTAGAATGCGGGATACTCTAGCTGCGTCTCAATTTGCAGGCTGCGTACTTCGGAGGACCCAGCCTACCTAGCCTCCGGTGGACCCAGCCTTGGTAGGCTGCTCCGGAGGATCGTCAGCCGTTGGTAAATGGGACGGTCTAGCCTTTGGAATCTGTAAGTCTGATCTCTGAAGAACCCTGGAGAATCAAACCTGTCAAAGACCTGCCTGCCCGCTCTCTGAAGAATCTAAAAGGGAAATTCAAGTCTGTTGCCTGCAAACTCTCAAACCAAGCTCTGCCTCCGCCAAGCTCTCAGCCTGCCGACAGCCTCTGGACCCTCCTGGTTCCCCCTCTCTGCCGCTCAGCTCAAACATCAGATCAGGTACAGACCTGCACTCTCAAACTCTGCAAATTACCTGGACTTCAGCTAACTCCTCTGTCCACCTCTGCAGTGAACCCAGTCGTGACCTGTCCAGGATCTGATAACCCCCTGATCTGTTTTATTGTACAAACTCTAAATAAACCTTTGAACTTTTTCCCTGTCTGATGAGTGTTCTGCACGTGGGTTAGGAACCTGAAACCAAACATGACAATAATCACGTTGGTATTGTTCTTCAAGCGAATTATAGTTTAAACCGTATTATACTGTACTGTAAATTAACTATACATTATTGAGTATTAAAACAAAATGTTTGCAGTATTAACAGCCCAGTACACCTGGACTAATGTTATTTCTTCAGCTGCATTAAGCTTTAACAGTTCTAATCCTGAGTAATAAACTTTATGAGAATAAATAGATGCGATTTGTGAGGGATATAGGTTCTAGGTTAAAATAAAAAATTGTGATATTTGTATGAAGGCTTTTAATATGTTGATGAACATCACGTATCAACAGGTTAGCTTTAAGCTTTAGCTTTAGCTACTCCTACACATCCCGGTGGCTCCGTTACCATCATGTATTTTAATAAATATTCAGATAAAAAAACAAAAACAAACTACTTACATTAAAAGGTGTTCTCCGCACTACTGCCGGCGCTGCTGCTGCTTTCCGTTATCCGTAACTTGAAGAAAATCCGACTTTTTTCTTCTTCTTCTTCAACTACTTCAGAAAAAAAAAAAAGCCGCGCAAAGCACCTCGGGAAATCTATTGGGAGGCGAGGCCACTAAGGACGGTAGCGATGCATCCTCAGAATTCGGGGAAAAGGAGGACGCATTTTAAGGCTACATTTTAAGCGTCCTCAGAATTTTTGCCAAATGTGACGGCCTCCGCGCAGCGTTGTGATGTCACCGGACTAAAAATACGTCCTCCGAAATACGCAGCCTGCAAATTGAGACGCAGCCTCTAAGTCCATTTTAGAAGGGGATACATATTTTGGCAGGCTGACCCCGATATTTTTCATATCCCCCTGTAGTTTTTACATTGAAAGAGCTAACAGCTTCAAATTTTCAGGAGGTGCTTGTGTTTATAAGAGGTGTTTATGTGCAAAAAATCTAGAATGTGGGATACTCTAAGTCCATTATAGAAGGGGATACATATTTTGGCAGGCTGACCCCGATATTTTTCGTATCCCCCTGTATTTTTTTACATTGAAAGAGCTAACAGCTTCAAAATTTCAGCAGGTTCTTGTTTTTATAAGAGGTGTTTATGTGCCAAAAATCTAGAATGTGGGATACTCTTAGTCCAGATCGCACTAATAAGTGTTACATTTTCAGTTTTAACCCAATAACTGAACGATAATGTAACGACACTATACCTATATTTCGTTAAAACCCTCTCCCATAATCTGATTATTTTGAGAGATTTCAACATTCACATGGATAATATCAGTGCTTCTCTCTCCATAGACTTCTCATCCTGCCTGGAAAGCTTTGGTCTACATCAACTTCACAACTCACTGTAAAAACCATTTTCTAGATTTAGTCTGTTGTTCTGGCATCACCCCCTCTGACTGTAAATCCCATACCCTTGCTTTTTCCGATTACATGCTCATTACTTTTAACGTTAAGCTCCCCCTGTCTAAAATCACCCTCCCTCGCATCATCTCCTTCCGGAATGTAAAGGACATCAACATTGACGCCTTCACCTCTGACATCAGTAATATTCCCAGTGTATCTGCCTGCTGCTCACCTGATGAACTGGTTTCCCACTACAATCAAAATCCCCATACTCTCCTGGACATCCATGCTCCTCTGAAATCTAGATCAGTCTCCTTCACTCACTCAGCTCCCTGGTTCACTCCTGCTCTCCGTCACCTCAAATCTCGTGGTCGTCAGCTGGAACGCCTTGCCAATAAAACTGGACTCACCATTCACAAAAATATGTACAAGGATCACATTGCACTGTACAAGACTTCCCTCTCCTCTGCCAAATCTGCATATTACTCTAACTTAATCCACTCCAACCGCCACAACTCTAAAACTCTCTTTTCACTTCTCACTTCCATCACCAAACCTCCCAACTCCCTTCCCCATCATATGCAATCCGATGACTTCTGCAATAAACTTATGTCCTTTTTCGTCTCCAAAATCACAGATATCCATAAACACTTGACCTCATCTGGAGCTGCAGCTTCTGGAGGCGACCCTGCTACCCCCTACCCATCTTTTGCAACCACCCTCTCCAGTTTTGACCTTCCATCTGTTCAAGCCATTTCCGACTTCATTCATAAATCCAAACCTTCCACATGTCAGTCGATCCTCTCCCGTCCATTCTGGTTAAATCCTGCTGTTCTTCACTTGCTCCTCTCATCACCAAAATCATCCACTCTTCCTTAAGCTCTGGTTCAGTCCCCTCTGCACTCAAAACCGCTAAAGTCACCCCAATTCTGAAAAAACCTGGCCTGAAAAATCTGTTGCCTCCCAACTCCACAACCACCTGATGTCCAATAATATTTACGAACAGTTTCAATCTGGCTTCCGTCCTCTGCACAGTACTGAAGCCGCACTCATCAAGATCTCTGACGACCTCCTTATGGCTTCTGACTCTGGACTACTTTCCATCCTCATTCTCCTGGACCTTACAGCAGCCTTCGACACCATCTCCCATGCCACTCTCCTCAGTCGACTATCATCCATCGGTATCAGCCGCAGCCCTCTAACCTGGTTCACTTCATACCTCTCAGATAGGTCACAGTTCATACAACTCAAATCTCATAAATCCATCTACTTCCCCGTTTCTGCTGGTGTGCCCCAAGGTTCTGTCCTGGGGCCCCTCCTGTTTATTACCTACATCCTCCCTCTTGGCTACATCCTCCGTATAAGCATCATATCAAATTCCACTGCTACACGGACGACACCCAGCTCTACCTTTCTACTCAACCATCTGCCTCACTCCCACCAATCTCCCTCACCCTATGTCTCCAATAAATCCACTCTTGGTTCTCATCCAACTTCCTCAAACTGAATAGCTCTAAAACCGAAGTCCTCCTAGTAGGCACACCTCACACTCTCTCCAAAGCTAATAACTTCTCGATTACCATCAATGATTCAACTGTCCTCCCCTCCCCTCAGGTTAAGAGTCTGGGTGTCGTCCTCGACAGCACCCTCTCCTTCCATTCCCACATTAACAACATCACCCGGTCTGCCTACTTCCATCTGCATAACATCTCTCATCTCCGTCCCTCCCTCACTCCCCAAACTACCGCCATTCTTGTTCACAGTCTCATCACTTCACGCATCGATTACTGTAATTCACTTCTTTTTGGCCTTCCAAACAAGTCCCTCCAGAAACTACAGCTCCTCCAAAACTCTGCAGCACGCCTGATAACTCGGACCCCCATTTTTCATCATATCACTCCCATCCTGCAACAACTCCACTGGCTCCCCATCAAACAAAGAATAATCTTCAAACTCCTCCTAACTACATTCAAGGCCCTCCACAGCTTGGCTCCATCTTACATCTCAGATCTCCTTGACGTTAAAACCCCCACCCGCTCCCTACGATCCTCCCACACCTTCCAGCTCTCCGTTCCCTCGGCCCGTCTGGTCACAATGGGGAACCGGGCATTTAGTCGCTCTGCTCCCCACCTCTGGAACTCCCTCCCTCCGGATTCTGGACTCCTTCCCTCTTTTCAAATCCAGACTTAAAACTTTCCTGTTCAGACAGTCTTATCCCATCTAGTTCATATGCATCACTCCAATATTGTTTTCTTCCTCTGGCTTTATTTTATTTCCTGCTGTTTTGTTTTCTGTGGCATCTTTATGCTTGTACTTTTTAGCTTCCTGTTTTTAATGTTTTTATCTGCCTGCACAGTGTCCTTGGGTGTTGTGATAAGGTGCTTTCAAATAAAATGTATTATTATTATTATTATTATTAAGAGAAATAAAACATCTTGATTTCCAAGCCGAATTGGCTGGAAATGAGGCGGAGTTCAGTGTATAGTTCAAAAAGCTGAATGCGCGCTCCCGACGCAGGGTCTACAAATCCTGGCGGGGATACTTCGTGGTTTTCAAAACAAATCAGTCTCAGTCGCTCGCGTCATCTCGTGCTGCATTCACGGCAGTCCGACATTGGAAATTAGCGGTCGTAATTCTCAAATTATCCATAATTTATAAGCCTTTCCTCCCCTACCGCCAACTGGGATGGCAGCAGGGGTGGCAAGCTGTCATTTAGGGTGGCATTTGCCACCCCAGTAGATCCGCCTATGACTATATGCTGAAGAAAAATTTGTTTTTCCTGGTTGAAATGTAGTACTTAAATCTATATTTGTGTTTTACTTAAACTTAAAATTTCTCTATGTTGTACTATCCTTAATAAACAGTCTGTGTTCTAAAATCAGGCGTTTGATGAAATAAAACCTGGTTAAATTAGAGAGAGCATGGTGGAGAGAGGTTGGCATGAAGGGATAGAAAGAGACAGATGCATCAGGTGGGGGTGGGGACGCACAGACAGCGTCAATAGAAAACGAGCGTCAAGCATCAGAGAGCAAAGAGGAGCCTCATCAACAAATTTTTAGCATCTTCAAGCGGCCTGTTTTTAGGTAAAGTCCAACCAGCGGTAATATGACCGTTATAAAGATCATTTCGTGTTATTTTTGTCGAAGGTTTGTGCTTAAATTCTATGGCGATGGAGATAATGATGATGGGAGGATGAAGAAAGGGTTGAAATGATCCCCCTGTTTCTCCGCAGAATCCAGACAGCAATCTCAACCTGTTTCTGGTCAGATCCATCCGACTTTAGGCATAGGTTAAGGCTTTCCTTTTGCTATTGCGTGTTTTTTTCGAGCGTATGTTTTCATTGTCGCTTTGTGGGGCGTTTTTCTCCTTAGTGCGCACATTGATACCTCCCAAAAAGAGAAAACGTTATCTGTGGGTGTGTGGACCAGTGTTCTGTTTGTTAGGTTCGGATGTCATTTCGGTGAAATTCAGGTCGAATTAACGGGTTTAGAAGCTAATTTTCTGTGAATGTGGGCCTGTTTTTCAGCGTTGTTTGGGTTTGATGTAAAATGGAGGCTCGATGTGGAAGAGGAGGATGGCCGCCTCAGCTTTGCAAGCTATTCCGTCACACCACTTCTATATATGCTGTTCAATAACATCCAGAAATAATGCTGAGTTATTAGCGTTTTACTCGTCATTGGTTTCCAGCTCAGCAAGTTTTTCCCATACCGCCAATAGGCTACAAGGTCAAATGGACGGATTTCTCGGGGAACCCATCCAGAGGTTATAAAACCAAAAATATAAACCAATATGTTAAACATTCTTCTGAGGGGCAATCACTTTATTACTGAAGCTTCATAATCTAAATGATTGATTGTAAACATGTAGCTGTGGGTGGATTTAATTGTGTTAATAATGGATCTCGACTATAAACATCTAGAATGCACAAAACTTTCACAACTAAACTCCCAGTGAATATTATAATGTATTTATCGCCTACATTAAAATGTTTAAAATAAGTCCTCAGATGTTTTGTTGTCATAATAAAAAGACATTTAAAAGATGACACGATGAAAGTCCAAATGACTTCTATATTTGGTTGAAAGCTGATAAGCATTAATTTTCAGATAATTAAAAAGACGTTGAAAACCCAATTTTCAGCATAACCGCAGGGTTTCGTCGCAAAGTGTGAGTTCACAGCTCATGATGCATGTTCAGCCTGACGCTCTGATGCGATCTACCTGCTCACGCTGTACATCTAAAAAAACACGTCAGACTGAGGCCCTGTCCACACGAAGTCAAAACGAACACGAAACGCTGATATTTTCCAAAACGTTTGCCGTAAAGACGGAGACGTAAAATAAATGTGAGCGTCCACACGAATGCATGAAAACGCTGCAAAATGTATGCCAGGCCTGTAAGTGGCGCTGTGGTGCCAAAGCAAAAATAAGCGACGAAATGTTGGGCATGCGCACTAATATTTATACATGGTTGCCCTGCGGGTCCATTTTCGTGGTTAAGTCAAATTCAGGTGCTGAACTATGTCGTCGATATTGCTCTGTTCTTCCTGGAGATATTCCAGAAGAAGAAGATTCTGTTGTAAGCCCGACAGCATTAGCAGCAACGGCGCCATTGTTGTTGTGATACTGGTCGCGCATGCGTGTTTAGAGGCGACGCTATGACGCATGCGTGTAAAAAAAAAAAAATGCGGTTAGAGCGTAAAGATGGAAACGCGAAAACGGCGTTTCGAAATCTTCCCACTCTGAAGGCTGAATAAAAAAAAGATCGTTTACAGACCCCCGAAACGCCGGCTTCGTGTGGATGAGAGGCTGGTTTGGGGAAAAATTTGTGCGTTTAGGCCAGGGTTCGTCTTCGTGTGGTCGGGGCCTCAGCTCCACAGTGAGATGGCGCTACTCTATGGGAGAATTATCCTGCCATAATGCAAGAGCACATAATTTCAATTTGAGGAAAGAATTTCATCCTCTTGCACTCAAAACTTATAATGCTCACACTAAAAACATGCACTCTCTCTCAAATATTTTCTCTTCTCTCTCAAATCTTTGTTTCTTCTCTCAGATTTAATGCTTCTTGCACAGATATTTTCTCCTCTCTCTTGCCTCCTTCTCTTCGCGCACAAACCGCGCTCTGCACGAATCTCAGAGACGCTCGCAAACCCGTAGGCTCTGCTTGCAGATTTTTTCTGCTCTCTCTCGGATTGCACTTGGATCGTTGCCTAGCAACCATTCCAGCCAATAGAATGGCAGCCTCGGAAAGGGTGCGCCTGTTTAACCCTACTGAGTGTGCCTGTGCTACTACGCCACTTATAAGAGCGTCAGCTGAAACTGCTATTTACAGTAGTTTTGTGGCTCGATTCAGCAAAGTTCAGTACTTATGGATAACCCAAAAAAATTCTGAATTAAGTCATTTTAAACAATTAGTTGTTTGTTATGTAGAGAAGCAAAGAACCAACATAATAAATTATCTTGAAATACTTTGTTGATGCCCTAAAAAGAAAAGGCAACGATGCATTTTGACAAAAACATGGCTTAGCAAACATTGCTACTACAGGGCTGATTATTTTACAGAAAGAACTCCATTTCCATTTAAAGTTTATGCCCAGCTTAATTGGACTAAACTGAGACAATATCAGACTAACCAAACACAACCCAATTTTCAACAACTTTTCCTGAACCAAGTCAAGATGGACCGACTTAGCCTACAACCCAATGCCTAAATTAGTCTGGTTCTCGGGGGGTTCTGACAGTCCAAATATGTCCACGTTGTGCATTGACTCTCTCTCTCTGTTGACTATTATCATATTGTGTAAACTAGACAGAACCAATCTATTGTGTTACTCTTAGATATCTTTTTTGTTAAATGAAAAGACTGCAAAAATAAGCTTGAGCTGATCTGTAGCAACCCAGTCTCATGGGAAAATGTACCCCCACTACGTTGGTCCACACTGCAAAACGTAGTGGAGGTACATTAATGGCCATTTTTTTGTGGTACTGTTACGTTTTTTCTACCTATACGCTTTCTATTGTTTTACGTCCTAGTCACGTGACTTTCAAGATTCCAGCTGGGAGAAGGAAAAAAATAAATATATGGCCGACATTCGCTCATTTTTTTGTGGAAAGATTAATGACTTGAGTTTGTTTTTGCATTAAAATGAGTTTTGATTACATTTCTAGTGAGAAATGTATAGTTTGTTGCCAGAATATTTACTCAGGGAATGTACATATTCACTTGCTTGTTCGTTTCTTGCAAAGATTTTTCAAGATAATGTGAAACTGTAACATTTTGGTATAAACATGGCTGAGATTTCTCTAACTTTTAGTGGGAAAATCAATAATTTAAATCAGTTTCTGCATTTAAATGGGTTTTTGATTACATTTATAGCGAGAAGTGTAGGGTTTATTTCCATAATATTTACTTAGTGAACATACATAATCACCCGCTTGCTAGTTTTTGCTACGTTTTTCGGATCTCGGCAGGATTATGTGAAATTGCAACGTTTTGGCTGCTACCCATCGCCTAGCATTTAGCTGCCGCCCCGATTCAACATTGAATTCTTTGTGATTTAACTCCATCTGACGGATCAAACCCTCGCCACTGCGTGCGTTGCGTCTGAGGTTGATTTTCAGATCAATGCATTACGCCGTGGCATACGGGAGAAACTAATTAAACTAGTTAAAAAAAGGATCATGGGTTAAGATCGGATGTGTTTTATTTGGAAATCTACCGGATCCTTTGTGCATTTCACTTCCTGTTTGGTGCGATCTCATTGATGGGTTTTAACCAGATTTTGACCAAAGAGGAACTAAAAAAAAAAAAAAAAAAACTATTTAAATACACAACCAGCATATCTGGAATCAATGACAGAGAGCATACATAATCACCAGCTTGCTAGTTTTTGCTACGGTTTTTCGGATCTCGTCAGGATTATGTGAAATTGCAACGTTTTGGCTGCTACCCATCGCCTAGCATTTAGCTGCCGCCCCGATTCAACATTGAATTCTTTGTGATTTAACTCCATCTGACGGATCAAACCCTCGCCACTGCGTGCGTTGCGTCTGAGGTTGATTTTCAGATCAATGCATTACGTCGTGGCATACGGGAGAAACTAATTAAACTAGTTTAAAAAAAGGATCATGGGTTAAGATCGGATGTGTTTTATTTGGAAATCTACCGGATCCTTTGTGCATTTCACTTCCTGTTTGGTGCGATCTCATTGATGGGTTTTGACCAGATTTTGACCAAAGAGGAACTAAAAAAAACAAAAAACAATTTAAATACACAACCAGCATATCTGGAATCAGTGACAGAGAGCGACTGGGACCAGAAGTTTATTAATTTCTCCCCACTGATTTCCATTCAAAACGTTTTCGATCCCACCGGCCTCTAGGGAAGGGGCGGGCATACCGACACCTACTGTTCATGAGTGTGTAGCAACATTGTTTTACATCTATTAAATTCTATTTTTTAATTTTGTATTCTGAAGATAAATAAATAATGCTTTCCTTAATCTATAAATATCTTTTATATTTCCTTTATTTCCCAATAATCCTTTAAGACTCCATTCTTGGCCTGTCCTCTTTTCAATTTCTTCCTTTCAAGTTTATATGTTTTGCAGTTCATCAATACATCTGCATTTTCTATCTCTCCACATCCTTCACATTTATCATTATTTTTCCTCTCTATTAAGTATCAATTGTCATTTAAATAAGTATGACCTACTCTTAATCTGATCATTATTATTTCTTCCCTTCGGTTTCTCTCATTAATATTTCTATTTAATACTGACTTTTGTACTTTATATAACCTTCTTCCTTTTTATCTTCATTCCACCTTTTTTTTGCCATTTTTCAATTTCTTTCCTCTTAATAAATGATTTTCCTTCCCCTTTCCCTAAAGGAATTGTAATTGTTATTTGTCTACTTTTCATTCCACCTAACTTTCCATTAATTAGCTTGAAAACAGCACTTTGTAGGCACCCAGTTTCTCTAACAATGGCCCTTTTTGGGTTACCCTCCATGCATTGGGTGTCAGTTCAGTGGCAGTTCCAGAACATTTTCTTAGGGTTGACCAGGCAGCACAATAATGT